GAATAACCCAGATATTTTTTACAATTTTTCGTAATTTTTTCTACAAATGCATTCTACAGTGGATAATACACATAATATATATAGAATCATAGCATAGATGTGCAATACAGCCAAGCTAACTACATTTTTTGATGGGGGTGTTTGGAAATAGACGTACTGACTCTATTATTGCAAAATGATATTTTGATTTCTTATTTTTTAGCTTTTACTGACGCCGTTAAACAATGAAATGGACTCTACCTACCCAAACCCGTCTGGCCCAGTTATCTACTCCTGACATCGTAGATCTGGGCCAGACGAGCTCCAATGCAAAAAAAGGGGGTATTTACTCCGGAAAAACACACTGTCTTTTCAATGCATAATACGTGCTAATAAATGAATAAACATCATAAAAAACACTTACGAGTTTGTTCCTTGTATCAAACTTTGTATCTATATTAGGTTTCCATCGCTGGACGACGGCTAATAAATAAGAACGAAACGATTAAACGCAGCAAAAGGAAAAATTCTTCTGCAATCTGTTCGTGATCTCGTAGAATATCGAGAAATAACGGCTGCATATTTTGTTCAGTATTACATTCGGTCAGTTTCAACAAATAGAAAAAATCATATTTAATATCCACCATATTTCTTTCAAGTCTCAATACAGCACAGATACGTCTGTTTTATAAAGTTATCTACATTTTGATAACAAATCTGCTGAAGAAATCGTAATATTTGGAATGTATTGATTCCCGGGAAATGTATTTTCGTTCCATGAAAGTTAAAAATTTATCGCGTCACATTTGTGTTACGTCACATCACGTGACTTTATTCGGTGCGGAGAACTGACGAAAATATTGACGAAATGTTGTGCCCATTTCAACATCAATATAACAAACAAAACACCACTTTTACATGTAAGTTTTATACTCTTTATTTCAAATAAATACTTGGGTTTACATGGAGCGCGATGTTTTGGTTGGATGGCTAATAGGGAATGAATAATAAGTGATGATTCAGCAACATGTTTTTTCCGGAGTAAATCCCCCCTTTTTTGCATTGGACCTTGTCTGGCCCTAGATCTACGACATTTCAGAATCGGGATGTAGATAAAACAAATTCCTAAATTTTCGTCGAATGGCGGAAGATTCTGATGAAGAGAGGACAAATGTAAGCACTAATTTAGCCTTATATAACACGTACTGATGTTTACGAACTAATGACCATACTCAACTATAAACAAACTTTCCTAAATATTGCGTTATTTCAGTGTGAAACTGTGTATGGGCGATAATGAGATAGATCTACTTTTTATTCTAGCTTACAGTTCAACTTCAAATTTAATTTTATTGATAAAGTCCATTTCACTGCTTCATTGCGTCAGTAGAACGGCAAAAATAAGAAATTGGGAGACCATTGTGCAATAATATATGGAAAAGTATATTCATAATGTACATGAATGACATTTGTATATTTCAGATTTTTGTGCAATAACTTGTAATTTGAAGAATTTCAGCCATGTTAATCTTATTGAAAATAACATGGCAGAGAAGCATCCAAATATAAGAGGCCACACACTTTATAAGCCATTTAACTAGAAGCAATCCAAGATATACAAATGTCATTCATGTACAATAGGAATATATTTTTCCATATATTATTGCAAAATGATATTTTGATTTCTTATTTTTTAGCTTTTACTGACGCCGTTAAACAATGAAATGGACTCTACCTACCCAAACCCGTCTGGCCCAGTTATCTACTCCTGACATCGTAGATCTGGGCCAGACGAGCTCCAATGCAAAAAAAGGGGGTATTTACTCCGGAAAAACACACTGTCTTTTCAATGCATAATACGTGCTAATAAATGAATAAACATCATAAAAAACACTTACGAGTTTGTTCCTTGTATCAAACTTTGTATCTATATTAGGTTTCCATCGCTGGACGACGGCTAATAAATAAGAACGAAACGATTAAACGCAGCAAAAGGAAAAATTCTTCTGCAATCTGTTCGTGATCTCGTAGAATATCGAGAAATAACGGCTGCATATTTTGTTCAGTATTACATTCGGTCAGTTTCAACAAATAGAAAAAATCATATTTAATATCCACCATATTTCTTTCAAGTCTCAATACAGCACAGATACGTCTGTTTTATAAAGTTATCTACATTTTGATAACAAATCTGCTGAAGAAATCGTAATATTTGGAATGTATTGATTCCCGGGAAATGTATTTTCGTTCCATGAAAGTTAAAAATTTATCGCGTCACATTTGTGTTACGTCACATCACGTGACTTTATTCGGTGCGGAGAACTGACGAAAATATTGACGAAATGTTGTGCCCATTTCAACATCAATATAACAAACAAAACACCACTTTTACATGTAAGTTTTATACTCTTTATTTCAAATAAATACTTGGGTTTACATGGAGCGCGATGTTTTGGTTGGATGGCTAATAGGGAATGAATAATAAGTGATGATTCAGCAACATGTTTTTTCCGGAGTAAATCCCCCCTTTTTTGCATTGGACCTTGTCTGGCCCTAGATCTACGACATTTCAGAATCGGGATGTAGATAAATGGGCCAGACGAGTTTCAAGGTTAATTGATACCATGCTCACTGGGGTTTCAATAACAGCCGGCGGGCGGCGAAAACGCCGCTTCAAATCCCAGTTACGCCCGTTCAAATTTTGAGAGAAAAAAAAATTGAGAAAAAAATTGCCGGTCCAAATGATGAGAGATTTTGCTGACACATGAGACAAATCAATTTAGTTTGACATATCAAATGAAAGAATATAAATTGGCCTACCTTGTGAAGGCAAAATCTAAGTATAATAGGCAGATAATCAGCAGTGTTTTAGAGAAACACTAAGATAATTATCTTACTGTAATCCGGCCACCATTTTTATTGACCTACTCTCAAACCAACATTGCTTTGAGACTAATGGGTCAGTAGCAAAAAACCTTTATCACTGTCCTGTCAACTTTCAATGGACACTATATTATTAACAATTACACATGTACTTGAAAACAAACAGTATAATCAATACAACTGATCTTCTTGGTATTATCTTACATCATAGTGAGGAAGCACAAAGGGCAACATTTGAAAACAAATAAAATCAAGTCAAAAATGCATATCAAACTATTGAATGTTAATCTTTATACAGTATTTCATTGAGATTAATAATGTGTCAGAAAGGAATATTGAGTTTATTACATTACATGAGTCAACATTTAAAAAACACATAAAGTAATGAACAAGTCAAATAGATCTATTGCTCATACAGTTTGTATTAAAGTGACAGGAAAATACTGATTTTTTTTGTTGTTTTACGTCACAGTGAGGAAGCACAAGGAGTAACATTTAACTCCAAATAAGAACGAGAATGCGAGCGAAGCGAGCGGCGAATGGTCGATAAAAAATTCAGCCTGTTGAAATTGCTGAAGGCCTGTTGAAAAAATATTTATTGAAACCCCTGTGCTCATACAAATTAATTGATAAGTCCTGTAGTTGGCATATTTTCTTGAATTTTAAGATTTAATGTCCCAAACTCCCATAAATCCGTAAATCATATTTACCAAAATGAGGTTGGTTGGTTCTGAGTGTCTCCAAGGTTTACTCACTTCGAGAGCCATGTTAGATTTTGAAACTTATGGCTCTCGAATGGGGAAATGGACAGCTGAATAATAGGGACCTTTGAAACACGAATTAAGTCGATCAGCGTCGATCAGCGGCTTACTTTTGTTCTCTTACTATGTCATACATCATTATCATCCTTCTGTGCAAGTATTGGAGCGCTGAAGTACTTCCTTTTTGATCAAGACTTGTAATTGTTAGTCGAGTGAATGTTTTTTTCTGCCAAATTCCAATATGGTGTTTCTGCTCGGACATTTTCGTAAATCTCCGAAGGTTGTCCGAATCTAACTCATTCTCAAAATTCATTTCATTCGTTGCGTATCTCGCTCCTAGCAAACCGCCATATTGGAAATGGGTCAAAAAAACGTTTGCTCGATGAACAATTTACAAGTCTTGATCCAAAAAGAAGTATTTCAGCGCTCCAATACTTGCACGGATTGATGATACTGATGGAAGACACAGTTAGAGACCAAAAGTAAGCCGCTGGTCGACTTAATTCGTGTTTCAAGGGTCACTATTATTCAGCTGCCCAAGTGCGCCGTGGGAAAGCTATTATATCAAAATCCACTTAGCTTTCGCAGGAAGTAATCCAAGGTTTCATACCAGCGTATGCATAGACTAATGCATTTGTCACAAGTTTGAGCTGAAATTTCGCTAAAATGAAATATTCTCCGCCAGGTTTGTTTATTGTAGTTAGCTTTTAATGGTAAGTGCTCAGAAGTAAATAATTCATGTGCGCAAAATAATCAAATAATCCGATTGGTTTAAACTTTAAGGTAACGGTAAAGTTACTCAAAAGTACAAAAAATGGCAGCCATATGTTCTTAATTTTTGAGTCAGCAAGCATTAATTCAGCATATTGTTGACCAGATAGAAGTGTGTACATTAAATGAATTCTTTCTGTATTCTCTGTGATTGGCACCCAGGATGTTTAGCAAATTGAAAATACATCCTTCAGGCCATTCTTATAAGCGCTTATACATGTATATGACAGAAGTCAAAAATTCCCGGGAATTTCACACATGGCAATTTTTCCTGCCAAGAATGTCTTATTTGCAACATCAAAATGGGAGAGTTAACAGTTATGATCACTAAAATAAAGCAAGGATCTTGCAAGAATCTAACTAGACAATGTTGACAGTGATTAAAGAAATCCCCAACAAAGCCCCTCAAATTGAAGGAATTGTTTTCCCCAGAATATCTTCCATATTTCTACTTGAGACTGTTAGATATCGATCTAAAATCATCTTTTTAATTTGATGATAGATCGTCATTTTTCATGTGAAAGTTGTGTTAAAGGCGAGAAATGTTAAAAAGAAATGAGAAGATGTGACAATCTTTTGACCCTTAATTTTATTTTCTTATTTCAGGCTAAACTCCATCAGAATCAACCATATGATGAGTCATTAGAAGTACCTGATTCAGAGGAAGTTGCAAGTAATTATACACCCAGCCCTAGGGCACCCATTGGAGGTAGGAATATGCATGCATTTACAGTAAAACCAAATCTCTATCACTGCACATCATGTCAATCTGGTTAACAACCAGAGACAGTAGAATTATTACTTATTTCTATTAGTGCCAACAACAGTCGGCTAGTGATGGTAGAATTAAAATCTGTCAACAGTCAACGGCCATGGGTTATACAAAAAATAATCGAAATAAAATAATATTGGATGGTTTTTTTTTAATTTGTTCCATCGTAAAGACATATAAATCCCCCCTCCATCCGATCCCCCCCCTCCATTCAATATTAATTTATTTCGATTATTTTTTGTATAACGCATGGAAACTAACCTTAAAAATTGAGCAATGTCATTAGTATTGTGATAATAACGTCCCTTATACCTATTTATTACAGGTCGTGTAGACCATTGTTGCCCGATTTATATCAAAAACATTGACTTTTGCACGTTGGTGATGATGCGCCTTTTTTAATAGATCTCATATTTTAGAAGGGTATCAGTTCAAAAAAAATACTAGATGACCTAACATATTTTGCCATGTACTGCACCTATTCATTTGTCAATATTCAGTTGTAAATTTTCTCTTGAAAAAATAAATCTTCCAAATTTGTTGAGTTTTCTTGTAGAAATCGCTTATCCCCCTCCATCCATTTTGTACGATCACCGGGTGTGATATTATATTAAATGAATTACTTACATTTTCAACAAGTTGCATAACACCTCAATTTCACATGATATCTTTTTACCCCGGGGGGTTCACTGTATATAAAACTCGACGGGGGTCCTAGGCTGAAGCCTCAAATATCAATATGTTCCCATACCAATCTGTCAAATTTCAATATGTTCCCATACCAACCAAAATAACGCCCAAAGGCCATACCAAATGTCCAAATATAGGACCAATGCCATACCAAATGTCCAAATATAGGACCAATGCCATATCAAATGCCCAATTATGGGACCAATGCCATACCAAATGTCAAAATGTAGGACCAATGCTATACCATATAAAATTCAAAAGTTGAAGAAGGCCCTTGAAAAGAAGATACTTCGGGAAACGATCCAAAACAACTTCAAATTTGCAACTACTGGACCACTGCCATTATCACGAATGTTAGGTAACGTATCTACAACGACCATTCTCATACCAGAAGAGCAAAAGTCCGACCATTGCCATACCTCAGAAGTCAGAAATTTCCGGGCATTCCCATACCAAATCCTAAAATATGGGTCCATTGCCATACCAAACGTTGAAAAAGGTACCCCACATGCGCCGAGGATCCCCGTCAAGGTGTATATATAGTGAACTCCCGGGCCTTTTACTAGTCTTAGTAGATTTTCATTTCACAGATGAATTAAGCCTAGAAATAGTACCATGACAAAAATATCTCTTTGAAATTTTAACAGTGTTAAGTATTCAGTTATCAACAGAAATGATTGGCATTTGGTTGTTGCTTTGATAGGTGAACCTTGAGAGAGAAAATATTATGTAGCAATAAAAAAAACTGTTGTAAGTAAATGATACTCAGTAAAGTAAGATGAATAATTTAACAAGCCATATTGGGTATATCCAATTTTATTTGAACTAAACACATTTAAACAAAGCATTCAATTTATTCAAGCATTTATTTGATTTATATATTATGCTTCTGCAGCATTGAAGCCAGTCCATACAAAAGGTTAGTGTGTTTTGCCAGCAATCTTTCTGATTTGCATGTTGTTTGTACAGGTATATAGATTATTTAAATGTCATTTTAATAGAAGTCTGACAAAATTGAATTAATGAGAACCAATTACATGTGTCTCAAAATACTGAAATATCTAAATTGTGGGAGATGTGAGATGTTCGAATTGATGAGAGTCCTTGACCCATTTCTACATGTAATCCTTATTTCTGTAGAACTCAAGGGGTGGGATTGGAGGATTGTTCTACTAAAGCAATTTAGGAATACTAAGAAAACCTCGACAATTTATTTTTTAATTCAAGTGTTTCATTATACAAAAGAATATAACCTACTTCATGCAATGGGTGTATCATTTGCAAGCAACTTTCACTTCTGTTTTCAGTTTAAAGCAGATATGAAATGGTATTTTTAACCTACAGGAATCAATATAATTTTTTGATAAATGTATTTGGACATGTTTTCTCATCAGTAGTGCGAAAACTATTTCACTCTAACGATCGTTATAGCTGCTTAATAAGCAATATTCGAATTGGTTGTGACGTTATTGGCCCCCACGTGATCTCTCACTGGTCCCCACGTGGCCCATAACGTCATAATGCCAAAATGTTTTGTTTTGGTTTACACTACAATCCTATGGTTGCCGTGACGTTGTGATTACTAAGGAACCAACAAACCAAAGCTATATTTTGTATATGACGTTACTCATCACGTGGGGGCCAATTTGATTGATCAGTTAGTTTTATTTCGTTATTTATGACCGTTAGCAGTTATCTAACATTTATTTTATAATGGCTATCGCAAGAACTCTACATTGGGCTTACAATGGAGAAAACCGCATTTTTGTAGCTGCAAGTTGAGAAAAGTTATTTCAGTTGTCCTTTAATAAGGAGTTAAAGCTAGTGAAAACGTACAAGTGTACCATATTCTAAAAAGTAGATTTCTGTTAATGTCACAATATGGAGATATTATTCACTAGCATTATGTTTTCATCATTACATTAGAAGAAGTATGACACATACTGCAAGATGAATTGTAATTCATTTTCAATAACTTCATTTTGGATTAAAACAAAATTTCTTAGAATGGTTGATTTGGTCATGACTGAGGTAGTTGATTTTATCTGAAAGCCTACTATTTACCTATAAGATGCTGCTCTACTACAGTTTGCAGCTAATGATACGTGGGTTATAATTTAAAGTATGTAACTATGAAGTAAATGTGATCAGATACATCATTCTGAAAAGCTGAGAAAATGGTCATATTTGTAGTTATAAAGGAGGATTTTAAATTTACTTTATTTCTTAGTTGAAAATTATCTTCCATAGTACACAAAAAGATATATAAATACCATATTGTGACATGAAAAAGTTAGAAAGGAGGACATACATTTTAGAGTATAAAATGCTTGAGTACTGTTTTCAGTACCTTTAACTCATAGTGTTATTAGACTTAAAACAGAAGTGAAGGTTACTCATAAATGATATACCAATCGCATAAAATTGATTATTTTCTTGGTACATGTATAATGAAACATGTGATTTAAAAATAAATTGTGAATTTTTTGTCCGATTTTCACATTTTTATTTTTACAAAAATAGCTTGATTAACATAGTAGGCAAAGTTTCCTATCCCACCTGTGAGTATATATTTCTTATATATTTCTTTTATTGACAATTGTATCAATTCAAAACATGACACATCTGTCCATGTACAAACTAGGCTGTCTTGACTCAAGACAATACTGCACTATTAACTAAATGCTAGACTACATGTAACATCCATAGTATATTATCCGTATTACCATGTGGTTTCATGATCAGAGGATTCAAACTGGCTTATTGCTTGAGAATTACAGTGTGTCATATAGATGTGAGTTAATTGTTATCTGTGGGTGGCAGGAAGACCCCTTGCCAACTCCTTGTATCACTTTTCCTTGAAAACTAATTGGTATCATTGAAAGGACAACAATAAGTGCAAGGTTTTTGTATCAAACTTTGTTTGTATGTTAATCTCTATGGAGGGAATTATTAAAGTCAGATAAAGCTCAACTAAAAAATATACATTAATTCTCCCCAAATGCCAGTCACCAGAATAAAATAAAGAAAATAATGTCTGAACCCCTGCATTTGGAGCATGTGTTAAATCTAGGTAGGCTTTACTGCATATAATGTTTGTTGTGTTCTAGGGGGAAGAAGTAGAGGAAACACACCCCCAGATTCCAGGATGGATGACGAATTTGATGAAGAGTTTGAGCCCCAGGCTCCTCCAGCCCAACAGGTATGTCAGGGAGCTGTTTCTCAAAATATCAAGAATGATGATTTTTAAATTTTTAGCTCATTCATAGTCAAAACCATTGCATGAGTTGTAATTATCCAGTTTATCCAGTTAACACAGTTTGGGGATATAGAGAACCCATCTGTCCGTACATACATACATCTGTGGATCCATCCATTTAAACAATGACTCGAGTAACATTGACCAATATTGCTCATATTTGTATATACGAGGGTTGTCCCAGAAGTAATGCACTATATGCTCTAACTTTCTTTAATATTCTTCAATTCAGCTGAAATTTTGTGTATATAATAATTGAAGTTTTATCTATTATATCCTGAGGTTTCAGAATCAAACATTAATATTAAGTCTTAATCTGGTTGCTATAGCAACATGGGGTAGGGGTGGGCGGGGCAAGTACCAGTTTTTCTAATTATGAAAAGATTCAAAGTGTTATTTTATTATTAATATTTATTTCTTTTAAATGATCAAAATCTTTTGGAAATTTAGCACTGTGACGTCATAATACCACAGTTCAATAGTCACAAATTCAAATACAGTCACTGTCAAGAAATTGCAAAAATGGCTGTAATTCTCACCCGATAACAGAAGGCCTTGCATTTGGTGGCCTAATTTCATACTTCACTTTGACTCACAGCCACACAAAACTTATGCTACCATGAAGAAAGTATAAAAGGAGTATATACTGGATAGAACTACAATTATGAGGTGGCAGAAGAGATTTAAAAGAGATGACTGGACCCTGGAAGACAACACCAAAGATGGGAGGCAAAAACTCCACAAGTCACAGTGGAAGAAATTGCCAAGTGTGTTTGACCTTACAGGCATCAAAAGTACATAACATGCAAAGGGGAATATTTTGAGAAAATGTGAAAAAGGACACTGTGCAATATACATCTATTAAATCTAGGATATGCTCATCGTAATTTAGTATCTTAAAATGTATTTTTGAGCATATTTCTTAAAGCTACACAAAATGGTATTTCTTGATTAATTATTTCATATTTTCAATTTTTTATTCCTTTTGACATGACTGTATAACCTGCCCCGCCCTACCCAAACTTACCAATTTGATTTTATTATAACATCAATATAGTTTTATCAGTCAACATGAAAATTTGTAGAATAATCAAAATGTCTCTAAGGAACATTTACTGAAAAATTCATTGAAAAATATCAATTATTGATAAAGTTAGAGCATATAGTGCATTACTTCTGGGACAACCCTCGTAGTATGCCCTATAAGATGAGAACAAGTTCATATTTGTATATAGTATGCCCTACAAGATTAGAACAAGTTCTGCCAGAAAGCAGATTTGAAAATGCCCTCTGGTCACCATTTTAGTGTATATTTTCATATGCTTTCAAGAGAAAACCGTCTCGTGACAATTTTTCCAATGTCATTGAAACACTGAATTTTACATCTATTTTTGGATTGGAATTATAGTACCTATAGAAATAATTTTGCAAGTTTCTATCAAACACAATCAATGTATCACTTTGAAGTAATAAATATGTAAGGTCTTCGCAATACATGTACTTATTGAACAAATTTAAAACTTCAAACATTTGACAAGATGAAGTTAGTCTGGGCTGTGATAAGTTTACCTCTATATTCTTACACCAACCACTGTAGGCTCCACTGCAGGCCAAACCTCCAAAGCAACCTGCAGCCCAAAGCTATGATGATGAAGACGAAGAGGATGAATCGGGTTCCAGTGAGGAGGATGATGACGATGATGATGATGATGAACAAGGAGGACAACTAGAAGGGTACATGGCATTTAAATATTTCTCAGGGTTTTCATCAATTTTTGTCCTTTGCGTGTATGATATATATCACATGGAATTACATACAATCATGTAATTGGAAACTTCTTGAATATTTCAATGTTTGTGCATGTATAATGTAAGACTAAACTAACTTATATCATGTTCTTGATTTTAATTTTTTTTCTCCTGCAGACATGGTGCCACTGCTGCTCCACCTGGTGGTGGTACTATTCAGTAAGATATCTGCCAAATACAGAGTGTGCCAATATATCTGTCACAAATTACATCTATTACATTCAATATTTTGGGCCACTCTGTAGTAGCACATTTCTTAATAACACTGCTTTTCAGTTCAAGGGAACTGTGATAGTATCCAAGCATACTTGCACATTAAGTTTACATGTTGATATGTTATCTTTATTATGTTATTTTGAGTTGTTCTTTTCTTTTGTTTAGTTTGTATAATGTCAAGTTTAAGTTATTCAAAAGTCCTCATAGAAAGTTATATATCAAACTGATAAATTATATTGTAACTATGATCATAAGACTAAATCTTCAAATTGCTTTGAGACTACAATTCTCTTCCTAGCATAAGTTTGATCTTGGTTATGCCCCTGTAACTATTTTGGAACATTTCAGTGCCTGCGACCCTGATGATTATGACAACCTTAACATTGTTATGACAATCTATTTGTAGTTATGACAATATCCCTGTTGTTAAGATGTGAACATTTATGTTTCAGTGCATATGACCCTGATGATTATGACAACCTTAACATTGTTATGACAATCTATTTGTAGTTATGACAATATCCCTGTTGTTAAGATCTGAACATTTGTATTTCAGTGCATATGACCCTGATGATTATGACAACCTTAACATCGTTATGACAACCTATTTGTAGTTATGACAATATCCCTGTTGTTAAGATGTGAACATTTGTATTTCAGTGCCTGCGACCCTGATGATTATGACAACCTTAACATTGTTATGACAACCTATGTCAAGTTTAAGTTATTCAAAAGTCCTCATAGAAAGTTATATATCAAACTGATAAATTATATTGTAACTATGATCATAAGACTAAATCTTCAAATTGCTTTGAGACTACAATTCTCTTCCTAGCATAAGTTTGATCTTGGTTATGCCCCTGTAACTATTTTGGAACATTTCAGTGCCTGCGACCCTGATGATTATGACAACCTTAACATCGTTATGACAATCTATTTGTAGTTATGGCAATATCCCTGTTGTTAAGATGTGAACATTTTTATTTCAGTGCATATGACCCTGATGATTATGACAACCTTAACATCGTTATGACAATCTATTCGTAGTTATGACAATATCCCTGTTGTTAAGATGTGAACATTTGTATTTCAGTGCATATGACCCTGATGATTATGACAACCTTAACATTGTTATGACAACCTATTTGTAGTTATGACAATATCCCTGTTGTTAAGATCTGAACATTTGTATTTCAGTGCATATGACCCTGATGATTATGACAACCTTAACATTGTTATGACAACCTATTTGTAGTTATGACAATATCCCTGTTGTTAGGATGTGAACATTTTTATTTCAGTGCATATGACCCTGATGATTATGACAACCTTAACATCGTTATGACAATCTATTTGTAGTTATGACAATATCCTTGTTGTTAAGATGTGACCATTTGTATTTCAGTGCATATGACCCTGATGATTATGACAACCTTAACATTGTTATGACAACCTATTTGTAGTTATGACAATATCCTTGTTAAGATGTGAACATTTGTATTTCAGTGCATATGACCCTGATGATTATGACAACCTTAACATTGTTATGACAACCTATTTGTAGTTATGACAATATCCCTGTTGTTAAGATGTGAACATTTGTATTTCAGTGCATATGACCCTGATGATTATGACAACTTGCCTGTTACACCAGAGATCAAGGAACTATTCCAGTATATTACAAGGTATGTATGTGATCATTCCTGTACCTGTGAATAACTTAGGGTACATCATAGACATAAAGATGATGAATGTGTTCCAGATAATTAATAGATCATTTGATACGTTTCTCCACAATTTTTACAAAATTCTCATCATCACAGTTTTGATGAAAAGTGGTAAAAAAATTTCTTTATCATTATATGCTCTGTTAAAGGCACACACTCTAATCTACAGAGCTAGAACACAAATTCAGAGCATCATATGCTGTGTTGTAGGTATACACCCCAGTCTATAGAGCTAGAACACAAATTTAGACCATTATATGCTCTGTTGTATGTATACACCTCAGTCTATAGTGCTAGAACATAAATTCAGACCATTATATGCTCTGTTGTAGGTATACACCCCAGTCTATAGAGCTAGAACACAAGTTCAGACCATTCATTCCAGACTTCATACCATCAGTTGGAGATATAGATGCCTTTATAAAGGTTAGTACATGTAAATAGCTCATAATCATTTTTTTGTACATGTATATTGTTTGTGCCATACTTTGTACTTTGTTGTATATAACTCCACCTCTTTGATCATTATACAATATCAAAAAATCTTGAAATGTGATTATTTTTCTGGTATATAGAATATCGGTAAAACTTAAAGCCATTTTGAGGAGCACCGGCCAATGTCATACTGGGTTACAAACCAGTTATATTGTCATTAAATAACACTTTCATTGAAGCAGGTTATCAACGTTTGACAATGTTTGAAGAATGATTGAATCATGATCACATCTCCATGCTCTTACCCATTCAAATCTTAATCTTGATGAATGTGTTTATTTATTTTGTGGCGAAGTCCAATATACAAAAAAGACAAATCAAAGGTGGTGACATATTGTTATGGTCTCCGTTTTTTGTGGCGGCGGTTGGCGATTGGTGGGTGGTGTTTTGTGCCTGTAACAAATTCTTAAAACTTCCAATAACTTAACAAATACTGTTTAGACTGACTTAAGTCTTTTTCAAAATCAGAAGTTTTCAGATGTTCAAATCTGACTTTATTTTTGAGATCTGACCTTCCTTGACTTTCTTGAGGTCAAAAAGGTCAAAAGGTATTTTTTCAACTTGCTTCAAATTGACCAATTTTTTTTCAAAATCATCTAGAAGTTCTCAAAAGTTCAAATTTGACTTTAGATTTGACCTTCAATGACATTCTCAAGGTCAAAAAAATATTTAATCTTCAATAACCTTTTCAAGGTCAAAAAGGTCTTTTTTCAACTTGCTTCAATTTCAGAATCATCTACAAGTTCTCAGAAGTTCAAATCTGACTTAAGATTGAACTAATAATATTGTGAGCAACTAGGTGGTGACATTTTGTAATGTTAATGCCTTGTTAGGATTCTTTTGAGCTTGCAACTGAGCTGCCTTATAGATAAGCTCACATCTGAAGATTCTTCCTGGTTTGTATGTAGCACTGAGTAGTCTCATGATAAGTCTAATCTGTCACAGGGTATTAAGTACGAGTTTGCAGTTATATTACAAAGAGGGCATACCCTGTTCCAAATAAAAAACTGAAATATTTTTGTATTCAAGGCACTATAGATTTTGCTGTTCTAAACAGGGTATTAAGCATGAGTTTGCAGTTATATTACAAAGAGGGCATACCCTGTTCCAAATAAAAAACTGTAATATTTTTGTATTCAAGGTACTATAGATCTTGCTGTTCTAACCAGGGTATTAAGCATGAGTTTGCAGTTATATTACAAAGAGGGCATACCCTGTTCCAAATAAAAAACTATAATATTTTTGTATTCAAGGTACTATAGATCTTGCTGTTCTAACCAGGGTATTAAGCATGAGTTTGCAGTTATATTACAAAGAGGGCATACCCTGTTCCAAATAAAAAACTGTAATATTTTTGTATTCAATGTACTATAGATCTTGCTGTTCTAACCAGGGTATTAAGCATGAGTTTGCAGTTATATTACAAAGAGGGCATACCCTGTTCCAAATAAAAAACTATAATATTTTTGTATTCAAGGTACTATAGATCTTGCTGTTCTAACCAGGGTATTAAGCATGAGTTTGCAGTTATATTACAAAGAGGGCATACCCTGTTCCAAATAAAAAAAATGTGATATTTTTGTATTCAAGGTACTATAGATTTTGCTGTTCTAAACAGGGTATTAAGCATGAGTTTGCAGTTATATTACAAAGAGGGCATACCCTGTTCCAAATAAAAAACTATAATATTTTTGTATTCAAGGTACTATAGATCTTGCTGTTCTAACCAGGGTATTAAGCATGAGTTTGCAGTTATATTACAAAGAGGGCATACCCTGTTCCAAATAAAAAACTGTAATATTTTTGTATTCAAGGTACTTTAGATCTTGCTGTTCTAACCAGGGTATTAAGCATGAGTTTGCAGTTATATTACAAAGAGGCGGACGCTGTTCCAAATAAAAAACTATAATATTTTTGTATTCAAGGTACTATAGATCTTGCTGTTCTAACCAGGGTATTAAGCATGAGTTTGCAGTTATATTACAAAGAGGGCATACCCTGTTCCAAATAAAAAACTGTAATATTTTTGTATTCAAGGTACAATAGATCTGGCTGACCTACTGTGAGATATATCTGATTCTTCTTTCTTTTATTAGGTGCCACGCCCAGATGGTAAACCAGACACTATAGGTCTTGCTGTACTAGATGAGCCATGTGCTAAACAGTCTGATCCTACTGTCCTGGACCTCCAGCTGCGAGCTATATCCAAGCAAACAAACCTCAAACAAGTGGTGAGTATACTACTTTATTTATTTTCTAAACGGAGTGGGGATCATTTTAAGCCTGAAAATTTTGAACTGGCCCCTCATATTATTTAATATTTCTGAAAAAAGATGGCATTATTATGTTTTATACCTTTAGTTTTAGTAAGTGAGAAATAGTTAGAGCAATTGTTTGATCAAGCCAACTCTTTAAAGTTAAAAATCAACTAAGTACTCAAGATTTTTGTCACAACTATACATCTGTAATTCAAAGTGAATAGGATAGAAAGACAGCCAGGTCAAGTGGATTTGTTTAAAATTGAAACATTATTTTTGACAATGAAAAATGTGAACTTGGTTAGAAACAGAACTATGTAAAATTAGTTTATATATCACTTTATTCTTTTATGTTGAATACATGATGAACAAAAATATTGCATTAATTACATATTCTAAAAGGTGATTTTAATGAGATGTCTGATTGATACACACAGTGTGGAACTCATTTACAATATTGATTTTAGATTATTTCATTTTTTAGATGATAGCACAAACAATTTGAATAAAAGATTGCAACTTAAATAGGAAAAAAAGTTTAAGTGATAAATATCAGAGTATAGAAATTTAAAAAATATATTACAGTAAAGCCTATCAATATTTAACCTTAAAATGATTAGTCTATTGTCATAGTTTCAAGAAAGGTTAATCTAATTGAGTGTTTTTCTATACACATTAATACCAATGGTACCAAAAAATGTTCAACTTATACATAGGTACATAAGACCCATTTTCTTATATGACCCAGTCCATACAATTATTCTTAATTCTTATCAAACAATTGTACCCCATGGCACCATACGCTTGATCCTTATTAACATACTTTGGCCATATAGGATCATTTATGACATTCTTTGGCTATCAAGGACATGCTTTGGACATGTTTTATGACATGGCTTGGGTGATGGATCTACAGAGCAGAGTGAAACTGGCTTTAAATCAAATTGTTTGATTCATATAGGTAGTTGACTTACACGTTTTACTGTAGTGTATATTTGAACTAAGTTTGAGCAAAACAGGTGTGTGCTGAAGCATCGCTATCTACATAACTGAAATAATGCCAGTAAAAAAAGATGAGTTGTGGAAGGTATACCGATCAACTCTGCACATCAGGGTCTCATTACATGAGGCATCCTAAATAGCTTGAATCTAAGGAAAATTATGGTAAATCATACAAGCACCATGTACTGAAGCATTTCCAGTAACTATGGCAATATCATAAAAGCAATTATTTCAAAAATCATTATTCCCAACATTACCTGGAAACAACCCCCAAGTTCATAATTACTATAATTGTAATAGATTGTAGATTAAACTTCTTTTTATGTACAGATTTATGGACAGAAAAACCTGTTCAATGGAACATCCCCATGTAAAGAACACTTATATGGACCTGTTTCCAAGTGAAGCCCAATTTTTGAAAATGTTATTGAACCCACAGTAAGAAGGGACTGTCTACAAGGAACACTTTTGGTCAGTACAGGAGGTGTTCCATATACATAAGTTTCAATTTACTATGTAAGGAGTGTTAACAGTTATTGATCATATGTTATAAAGAATCATTTTACTCTTTTCGCTCTGTTAAATCAAGCTCATTGCCTGGTTGATCATGATAGGGTTCCACTGTGAAGTCATTGGGTGTCTGATTCATTGTCTTGTATGTATTGATCGGCTCATTCTTCATGAAGATCTGTGGCATATCGAACTTCAACAAGCTATTCCTTCTATAGAAATAGATCAAGAGGCTAATGACGAGCACAAGAATCACAACGCTGCAGATTGCACCAACCACAATCAATGCTTCCATGGTACCACTTGGTCCTGCAGATGCTAATTGGGCATTTTCTGGCTCATCTGTAGGTTCAGGTGATATGAATTCATAAGGAACAGTTGCTTCTTGAGCCTTAGTACTCTCTTTTGGCTCCTTCTTTGTGGATCCCTTAACCTCCACAGGTAGGGTTTCCTTGGGTTCTGTTAGAGTGGCTTTTGTGGATGGTCGTATTTTTACAGTAGGGATGACTTCATGTGGGAAATCAACAGGTGCAAGGTCCTCGATCTTCTTGTCAACTAGCTCTGGAGGGTACTTACACATTGAGCTTTCTTTATCATGCTCACTCACCAAACCAGGTTCATTCCACAGTCGGCTGGCCACTTTCATCATCTCAGCCGTACACACCCAAGGGTTGTCACGCATCCCAAGATGCTTCAGGTTAGGGAGATCCAATATGGCATTTGGAAGGGTTGTTACTCCTGTGTTGCCAATATCAATAACTTCCAGGGTCTCTGGGAAGTAGTTCGGGAGAACGCTAAGGTTTGTTCGAAAAAGGTCTAATGTTTTAAGATTACTCAATGGGAGAAGATGATCTTTCGTGATTTCCTTCAGTGGGTTTCCCTCAAGGCGGAGTCTCTCAAGGCTTGTGAGCTCATAGAATGTGTCAGATGCAATGTGTTCAATCAAATTGAAACTCAAATCCAAATCTTTCAGGTTCTTCAATCCAGTGAGAGTCGATCTCTTTACTTCTCTTAGTTTATTTCTCGAAATGTACAAATTCTCCAGATTTTCTAGGTACACAAAAGTTCCATCAAGGATCTCCTCGATTTGATTCTTGCGCAGAATTAGTGTGATCAAGTTGACATTGTGTTTGAATATTGACGCAGGAAGCACTGTGATGTCATTATCATATATGACATCAACATCTGTCATGTTCAGTTGGCCATGTTCGATGTCAAGTTCGATATCGTAATATTTGACACCTTCTAAGTTCAGGTTCTCCAATTTTGCAAGAGTTGAGAAAGCATCTGCACTTATTGACTTCACTCCACATCCCGTGATCTCAAGAATCATCAAATTAGTCCAAGATTCAAATATCTTCGGTCCTAGATTGGTGATGTTTTTATGTCTGATTTTTAATTCAGTTATGAATTTCTCGTTTAGGTATTTTGGGAGTTCTTCAGGTTCAGCTTGATCGCAGTCCAGTCCTATACCTCGCTGTATATGTTCAATAGAGCAGTCCACACTGACCAAAGCATGGTGCTGGAAGTGTTGTTGTTCCTCACAACATACCAGCCCCAACAGCACAACAACTAACACGCTTTTCTTCAACATTATGCCATTAATGTTCCTTAAATGTTCATTCTTTTGGCGACATTCAATTTTGTTTTTATTCTATCTTCTGACATATGAGTGTATCTATGTATGACACACACAATGCAGCAATGATTCTATATTGTTTTTATCTCACTTTGAAGGGTTGTCCTAAGTGTTATACCAAATTCTCAAATAAGGCTGCTAAAACTAAGATAACATGTCACTTGATAATAGAACATCGTTTTTCACCTCTTGTTAGGTTGTTTTTTCAAACTGTCACATTTTGGTGGCCTTATGAGCTGTTTGATGGTGGTGTAAGTGTTCTACGTCATCTACTTGTTGAGATATGTGTCTTTATGTCAAATCTTGTCACCTTACACGTTTCTGTGTCAATATGTATACAAACTAAGGGTTGGTCATAATTTCAAGTTGAGATGTCAAAACAGGATAAGATTGATATTTTGATATGTTTGAAGTTATCTTGAAATATGAAGTCTTAGTTTTTTAACAATTTGAATGAATCTGGAATTACTATTTTCTTATCTTATTTGTATAATTGGAATTGTATCAAATGTATACCTGTAATGGTTAAAAATTGGAAACAAAAAGAAACCATGTGGGCAAAAATTGATAATATTCTATTGTCAATTGAATATATGCAGGTTTCTTGTATTTAGTATTTCACAAGTACTTTATTTAGTAAATTTTGAAACAAACAAAAATCTCATTCAATTCAAGTAGCCGATTTCAATTGTATTCTGATTTTTATGGTATTTTTCAAGCCCCTTCAGTTTTATGACGTTACCTCAGTTTGTACAAACATAAATTACTCTGTTCATATTAGCTTTCAAAGCAGATTTCGTTGTATTTTAAAAGGTTTTTGACAAGCAGATTAAGGTGACTTTTTTTTAAACTGCCTCTTAGGAAATTTGAAGCATGCATTGTTTAAAAGTTAGGATAACATATTTAATTCATCAAAAACGTTTTTAACTCATTTTTTATTTATACAATTAAAGTATCTGTTAATCTGTGTATTTCATTCAATATCATCAATCTCTATAGAAAAATAAATACATGATATTGATATGATGTTTTTGACTGATATGATATTAGCAACTTTTAATATCTGTGAATACATTGCTGATATTGACACCATAGTACTAATTATCCCACCCAACATAGTTCAAGATTGGAGAAAGAGAAGTCCTCTGTCTGGCAACTCATCTGTCTGCTCGTCCATTCCATTCCAGTCCATTCTGTAGCTGTTTGTATTGTATGTATGTATGTATGTATGTCCGGATGATAACTCAAGTGCTGGTTAACAGATATACACAATGAAATAAAAAGAAATTGAAACTATGCAACTCATAAGAAACGCAATGTAAGAAGCACATAGAATGTACATGTATGTTAAAGAAAGAATTTTCAAGATGGCTGCTGCTGAATTCCATTTTCACCATATGAAAAATAGCAGTTATCAGATTTGCTTTAAATTTTACAGGCTGATGTCTTACAGGAATAGGTTTTCTGTCCAAGAAAAAATCTAATGTGGGTGCTCAATTTTAACTTTGTTATCCAAACAACTATTTGATATCAACAACCATTAGGGTGTGATCTAACTTAAGATTGGAAGAGCACTCAGAATAACTGAAGTATCACATTAAGTAAATTGTATAATTTATTCATATCAATGCTGCTATTCCACTCAAATTAACATAAATTATGGGATAATTGTGGGTTTGCAATTTTAAGTTTTTATTAATGTATGCTATGACATACTGTTTCATTCTTCTAATCAGTTTATTTAAAATGATAAAAATTGAACTCTTTTCTATACAAGGCTTTCAAAAATTAACTAAGATTTATTGAGCATTGTCTCAGGTAAAAGTAAATTTTGTTATACAAATGTTTAATAGTGTAATGTAATTCTAGAAAACTTGTATATAGATCAGGGCAATAAAGCAAGAATACATTTTGCATATCAGCAAACTACTTATTGATAATTGAATTAAAGAATCTATATGATACATTTACAGATTAAAATCTATGAAATTATTAATTACGGTGCAGTGATATAAGAGTATGTTTTCAGTTGCCACCCATAAGTGTGTCCTATATGTTGTAAGATGAAGACAGATTACACTGGAAAAATTTTATAGAGATGTGAATTTAGAAATGAAGATGTTTATCTAAGAAAAACATTCATAGACAGGCACCAAATATTACATGCTGTGCAATTACGTTTAGTGAGTTGGTGGTAAAAGGTCATTAGCTTATCTAAACAATGCAAGGGTCATTTTAGAACATTTTGTTTCATTTTAAAAAGTATGGACTACTATAAATATTTTTTATGAAGAGTGGGTGGGTGAAATGCATATATAGAAATATTTGTATACCACATGGTACATTATACAGTTATTATGTGTACATGTAATCCTACACACTTTTTGAGACAATCCCTATTAATTAGTGTACCCAGTGTATGGGTACCTACTGTTCTGAAGGACAGGTTTTAAGTCACTGGGGGGTGCCTCCTTCATGTAGATATGTGGCATATCTACGCTCCATTTACGGTTCTGTCTATACAAGTAGACAATAACGCCCAGGACCAGACACAGGGCAGCTATAGCCACTATGATTCCTATGATTGTACCAGCTGCCAATCCATGGTATTCACTGTTCTCTTGCTGTATGGCTTGTTGGGCATCAGGGCCATTTGGGTTGTTTGGAGCTTCAGTTGATGTGTATTGTAAGTTGTCCTTCAGGGCTGTGCTCCCAGTGCTTGTGGTGCTAGAGTCTGCCTCAGGGTTGTTGGTCAGAGGAGGTCTATTCCCAGGGTTCTTAGTCTCAGAGTTACGTGGTGTTATTGTATCAGGCCTTCTTGGTGTTGAGCTTTCTTGGTTGTGGGTTGACTTATGTGCTGTTGATCTTTCTGGCTGGGTAGCTTCAGTTCGTTTTATAGTTGTCGTTAGTTCTGGTCGTTGGCTTGGCTTGGAATCTAGAGTTGGTGGTGGCCGAGCATCTGGGAAATGTCTTTGCTCTAGCTTGTCAATCTGAATACCTTTTAGGTTATCAGGAGAGGCACATTTTGATGACTCTAAGTCATGGGACGTCACAATATTTGGATGGTTCCAAAGCCATCGGGAGACCTTCATGATGTCATAGGTACATAGCCAGGGATTCTTTCTCATGCCAACGTGGGTCAGATCCTGGAGCTCAAAGAATGAGTCCTTAAGATTCATGACCCCAGTATTACCAAAATCAATCATTTTGAGTTTGTCAGGTAATGGGTCTGCCAGCGCAGTGATCTGTGTGCGATACAGGTCAAGGACCTCAAGATGTGGGGTCGGCTGGAGGTGGATGCTGGTTAAAGCTTTCAGAGGGTTACCTCCAAGATGGAGTCTCAAGAGGCTTGTCAAACTATAAAATGCATCATTCGGTATCATCTCTATCTGGTTAAAGCTCAAGTCCAAATCCTTCAGGTTCTGTAGTCCATTTAATGTGTCACGTGATATTTCGGTGAGCTTGTTCCTATCTAGAGCCAACAGTTCAAGATTTTCCAGGTTTATAAAAGCCCCTTTTGCGATCCCTGCAATCTGGTTTTTACGTAAAATCAGTGTTTCCAACATTGTATTCTTGCTGAATAGTTCTGCTGTGATGTACGTTATCTTGTTGTTGTAAGTTATATCAATTGCTGACATATTGAGTTTCCCAGTCTCAACATCTATGTCGATATCATAATATTTCACTCCTTCAAGGTTCAAATGTTCCAATTTGTCAAGTGTCACGAAGGCATCTGCATCAATAAACTTCACTCCACATCCCGTGATTTCAACCTCTCGCAGGTTTTTCCATTCATGGAACATAGTCTGTTTGACTGTCGGAATGTCCTTGTGACGCACTTTGAGTTCTGTGATGAACTCCTCATTAAGGTAATCAGGGAAATCAGGGGGTGTAGCTTGTTGGCAGTCAAGACCAATGCCTCGCTCTATGTGCTCAATTGAGCAGTCGATGCTCACCAGGACATGGTGGGAGTCGTGTTCTGTCAGTGTTGCTATGGCAACAGATGCCATTGTCCCCAGGCAAAGCAGTTGAATAAGAGACATGTTGTCACCTGGAGATACAAGGATACTTGTATTATCCAAATCATGTATTACAGAAGACAGATTTGAATATGTGTTTTTTTATATGTACACACATCTATCTGTATATAGCACTCTTACTGTAACAAATGTTTTATGGACATGCATACACACAGTTATTTTTGTAAATTTTATAAAATTCAAAACAAAGCAACACACTTGCTGGAATTACACCAGAAAAAACGCAAAAAGCTTTACAAAATCGCCATCCTGATTACACCAACATTTCTAAAGCACCTTAGGAATTTTATTTTGGAATCACACCTGTCATTTCTAAAACGCCTTTTGTGCAGTTTTAACGATGTAGATATGGAGAATATCCAGCAGATGTGTACATCTACAATAAATGTATTCTTTTAGCATCTAAGAGAAAAAGTAACCGAGACTTTTGCCAGTGATGTGAACTTACTCTCACTTTTTGAGATATAATTTGATGACCTATTGCATTTTCAGGTCCCAAAATTACGGCATTTGAAAAAATACGTCTTATTTCGTTTAGGGCAAATGGTTAAACTCGGTTAAGGCATTTTACAAAAACCGATCGGTATTACACTTCACTCATAAAGCACCTAACGCTTTAAGTCGTTTTTTAGTGACAAGGGTCCTAGGAGTTTTGGAAAAGCGCTTTTGTAAAACCGCAATCATGATTACTAGTCTACATGTATACACCTATTTTTCAAAACAGGTTAAAACCTTAGGCGCCTTCTTAAAACACATGGTGTAATTCCAGCAACAATTGTCTTGTGAAACTATTAATGTATGTCACAGATTGACTAGTTGTTAAATATCATGTTTGGGTGAACATTGTTTGAAACTTGAAAGGATTTAAAAGGTTAAAAAGGTTTGTGTAGGTTATCGCAAACAATATCAGACAGTTATGTCTTTGATTAAGACTATTTTCTGACCAAGAAGACAGTTATATCTTTTAGATCCATTCACTATCTCAAAGAAAATTATATACAGTAATAATAGAGTCAAACAGACTTGGAAATATTTAACTAATAAGCAACCCATTAACACACTTTTTCAAAGATGTTGACCTCATTTTCACCAAAATGCAATCATTTTTTACAATGTTAATGCATTACTATTCTTTATTTTGATGTATCAAATAGTTCTTGAAAGAAAAACTGAATTGCTCTAAGATTAGTGTTCCACATTTTATTCTCCATTAAAAAATTTGCTATCTATTGGTTTCAGTACATTTTGGTCATCCAAATTCAGTATCTTTAAAGTCCCTGGAGCAATCAACTTTTCCTTCTCAAAGATACACCCATGTTCATGATTAGAAAATATTCAATATTCAAGTTAGAATTGTCTGAAATTGTTTGCGATAACCTACGTGCTCCTCTATAATAACTCACCATTCAACGATTCTCCTTTTTAGGAGTTTAATCCTCCAAAAATAGTTGAATCCTTCTACCTTGTGTTTCGTTGTGCCTAAAATACAAATCTTACACATACATTGTGTGTGTCAAAAAGCGTTTGTCTTCGTAGTTCGTACACAATGTTGAAGAGCCCTTCAGAGGGATTCCATCAAGTTTTAACTTGATAAGATTACACAAACTAATATTTAAACAATAAATATATAAGCATTCTTTTGATTACATGATGAATTTGATAAACTTGTAACAATTTTACTACACTTTTCATAATATATTTCATTTAATAAAAAAGATATTAAAAGCAGAAGGGTATTTAAGATATCATGGTTTGATATGACCCCCATGAGCCACCACATTGTTTTTGTGTTTTATATTTATTGATACGCAAACATTATAACATTAGTTACTGTGCTATTGTGTCCATTGTCAAGGCTTCCCTATCTCACTACTCTGAACTCATTAACAAGTACACTTCCCTCTCACTATGACTGATCATTTTACAATTTGGCATCTAATCAATCAAAGAGCACTGAAAAGCCATGCAAATATGTTGTCATGCAGTTCATAGTGAATTATCTCTGAGCTCTCATTGGCTCGGCAAGTTTATATGCTTATCCAAAGAGAATTATAAGTAGAGGCTTGGGTGGCTTTTACAAAGAGTATTACTTCTACTCGAAATACATCAACTGTCATATCCAAGGTGGAGCATTTAGCTTTATCACCTAGCAAAACCACTCACTATTAACATTGTTTAGAAAATTATTGTACTTTTTGGATTGATGGGCATTTAGATTTAAACATTTTCATTTTGAGATGTTTTGTTGATTCATTATCCTATGATTCTTGAACAGGTTTAAAATATCATAGTTTATTACTCTTTGTTGGAGCTTTTCTTCTTCTTCCCGCTGATATTCCACCTTCTTTTTGTTTCTACATTCTCATACTGTAGTATCAAGTTTTCATCAATGATATTTTAAAATCTTTCTTTAATCTTTTATCAACATAAAAAATTAAAATCTGGAAAAATTACCATTTCCATCTATACTCTTCAAATTAGAAATGATTATCGTTGTGGCTATATATGTATAAGTAGCTAACATTGATTTTTATGATGATTATTAATGTTATAAGAAACAATAAAAACTAAATCATAAAAAGCCATGAAAGCTACATTTCAAAGTGTAGATAAATCATTGAAACTACTGTCTGTGATTTCAGGTTGTTCGCAGTGTGGAAGAAGCAGACAAAAATCCCAGAGCAATAGACACTTGGATTGAGAGTATCAGTGACCTGCACAGATCTAAACCACCTCCCAATGTACATTATACCAAGTAAGTTAACCCTCCATACAATGTAGATTATACCTACAGTTCTCATATTAGTAAGGTGTTGGACTGTAATTTAAAACATTCTCTCACATCCAACTCATTTATCATATTTATATTTATAAGTCCCCATATAAAGTTTAAACCACTTTGGCTTATATTGTAGTCTTATCCAATGTTATCAAAGTCTGAAATGTGAAACTTTTTATTTTAATTTCAAAAAGTGGTTTTTGAAGGACTTTTTGTTCGAAAAATCGTGAATTTCTTTAAAACTAACTTTTAGAGGTTATGCGTAGCTTTTAATAAGCGATAATTCATACCAATAATTCATACCAATACACAGCATTCATCCTCACGTTTTTTTTGGCTGAAAAAATTAAGAAAATCAGTTCATAAATAAGCGAGAAATGAACTCATCAATCCATGAAAATGCTTCAGAGAAAAATGCATTTCAAAATTTTAGTTCTCAGAAACCAATGGTATAATGATATCTAAAACATAATTAAAACATAATATATTCTTCCTTTTTACCTGGTTAGACAATCAGCATTGATTTAATTTTGAAGTTTAGCATATTTAGAAAAGATTGACATAAAAAATATTTCATTTTTTCAAAGATTTTTTTGCCACCTGAGTGAGTCATCGATGACATCACTCAGGTTGCAAAATATTTTTGCTATGCTTAAACATTGAAGTGGCACATTAGATATGGCATTTTATTATTGAAATAGTGTGTCCTTTGTTCAATCTTTGCATAGGTGTCAAAAATTTGATGATTAAAAAATTTCAACTTTTTGAAAAATGGCGGGAAATTTGAATATTTGAGAAATGAAAAGCTGACAACTTTTTAAAGCATTTATACAAGGTGTTGGTGACCCTAACACATCTAAAATTAACAAGTGCTTGAAAACACTAAATGACACAAGCTGAACAATGGGATGCTTCAGAAATGTTTGTTTCAGTAAATGCATTAAGTAAAATTTAGCCTCACATCTTCTCTATAAACCCCCATTTCCATGCAAATTTGGTTCATATCAAATATAAATAGGATATCATTTACATTCTGCTGTGTTCCAGAAATATGCCTGATATTGAGTCTCTCATGCAGGAGTGGCCACCAGAGTTTGAGGAGATGTTGAAAGAGGTAAGATTTATATTGATGTTTAAGTTTAACATTTTTTGGAAGCTACATGGTTATAGTTTCATCATTATTTAAATACTATGATTAGAGTAACAAGTCCATGTATGGTGGTATGAGTTGTAAAAGATTAAAAATAGTTTTCTTTAATAAAACTTAATTCTATACATGTACACAAAAGTCCATCTTTATAATTATTTTTATTTATTAATATCAAAATTGATTTTAATATCTAATAAATGCAGTAAAATCTGTCATATGGAATCCCTTTATAAAAGGAACGCCTTTGTTAAGTGAAACACATTTCACTGTTCTTTGACCCATCGACTTAATGTTAATTATACCTGTTTAAGTTGGACACTTTTACACAGGTTTTACTCTACTTATTTGTTTCAATGATTGCAGGTGGGTCTCCCTACAGCTGATTTGGACTGCGATCTCAACCAGTATGTAGAGATGATATGTGCCATACTGGACATCCCCATATACAAGTCACGTATTGAATCCCTCCATGTACTCTTTACATTGTATTCAGAGTTCAAGAATTCACAGGTATGGAAGTGTTTACTTTTATTTATGTTTCAAACCAGGAATCTACATTATATACATCTACATGAAACACCTGCCCATTTCTATTTATTTTTATGTCTACTCTCTTTTAAATCACATAGAAATTGATCAATGTAGCATTGAGAGTATCTACATATTTCTTGCATTCAGTTTATGATCTCACTGAGGTGTAATGTATTTTGGTGTGGCAGAAGGTGCAAATTGACCACTTTTTGATAGCTAGTTTGCTTCTAATTGCTTGTATTGTTCAAATACTGGTGACAGTTCATACTTGCTCCCTTTAGTACATTTTATAGGACTGGGTCAGACTTTCTTTCATTAGAAAAGTGTTAGAGAGGCTCTAATTTTCAGTGGACCTAGAAATCAGATGATGACAATTTTGATTTTGAAAATCCAAACTAATGGCAGAGATTTGATTGTAAAATGTTGTGATAACCCAGAGTTGTAAGTCAGCCTGACACCTGAATAATCTCACCCATCCATCCTGGCCCATCCTGGATTTATGTGGCCTGCAATTTTTGCCCACTATTCATTACCATCATGAATCTTCCTTATGTATTAGGTAACTGGTCAACATGTATCATACATGATATGAAAACCTGTATGAAAATTGTTCAAAGAAAAGTTCTGAAAATTGTAATGAATATCCACTTCTGATGAGCATTTGATACTGAGGTTTTAATTAGTTGATTCTGATAGGTTTTTTTGTTTCCAATTGCAGCACTTCAAACACCTTGCAGATGACAACCAGTTAGACAATCATCTCAAACAGGATGAAGACAGACTGGTCCTTTAAAGAACTAATATTTAATATGATGGAAACAGCACGATCCTTAATAATGTTTAATGCTTGAATGGACAAAAGAAATGAACTCGTTCATTGGAATCAAACATGAATCATTACATTTGTATAGAGCCTCATTTTGATGTGTAGCATGAGAGCTCCATCTATATCATTACAGGGTGTTCCAAAAGTAACAGGACTGGTGCTGGTATTTTGTTAAATATGCACCAATCGTCCTCAAAAGTTTACATAATGTACTTTTATGTATCGTTACTAAGACTGCAAAGTGTCGAAAAAATATATGAAACTCGGGTAGAGTTATGGTTGCTATAGTAACATGACATCGCAATACCCGGGGCAACATTCCAAGCAAAAAGTTACAGAGACATTAAGCATTTTGTACATCCCATATCATTTTGTACATGCCATATCAAATTTGAAATGCAACAACTGGTGGGAATTACATTTGTTTTACATCATTTGATATTCCTATGTATCCTCTACTTTGAAAATAGGCTCCTCTTTGGTCAGTACAAGAGTAGTTCTCTGTATCCATGACCCAAACACATGAGTGAACCCATTTGAGGACATGTCACACAGGGTCGATTGGACAATTTGTAGAAGGTCATTCTCATCTTTAAAGGTCTTACAGCACTGATTAGCATTCCGTTCTCAATATAAGTAAAAATTAGATATTGCATGATCAGAAGAGTATGGTGCATGGTTTTAGACCTCAAGACCTAGCTCCTCTATAGCTGCATGGTCTTTAATGGTGACCTGCGGGTATGTGCGCTATCAAAGTGGATGACTGGCTCCAAATTTGGTCTTTTTAAAAATTCAACAGTGAATTGTTCAGACTGTTATACATAGTTATGTTTCAGGAAATTGAATAAATATTATTATCATTATGAAATAATACTTGAATCTGCTTGTATCTGGTTGTATAGCAACATCTTAACAACAAAGCAACTTATAAAATAAACAAGAAATGTTGTATTATAATAGGTGAATTAGATACTTTATTCAGTAATACAAAAATGTTAGGTAACACATTTTCAGAAAAAAATTTGCCCCGGGTATTGGGATGTCATGTTACTATAGTAACCATAACTCTAAGCGCATTTCATCATTTTCTCTGAAACTTTATAATTTTAGTTACAATACTTAAAAGTACAATTTGCGAAAATTTGAAGACACTCAGTGCAAATTTGACAAAATGCCAGCACCAGTCCTGTTACTTTTGGAACACCCTATATATAAGTCAACATGGACGAAGTTTGATGTTTACAAAGAGCAAAACACTATATGAGTCTACATGTATTGTTCCTTCGCATAAAAACAATACATTATTCCGTCCTTCTCTCCTTTATATTGTTAAGAATATGAGTATGCATAGAAATGAAGAAGCTAAGACCACAAGTAAATTCTTGACTTTTATTGCATTTCATCAGTTATGTGAATATTCTGTATTGTAAATAAAATAAATTATATTGAAGTGATATTAGAGTGTTTGCATTAGTTACTTAAAATGCCATAAATAGCTTATCAAAAATCAAGCTAGTTTGAGCAGGAGATTGAAGATTTGACATGGGGAGAGGCAAATTGAAAGTGTAAACCATTTATTTTATTACACATATTTCAAAATTGACGACATAGATGGCATCTGTATTTGCTACTTCTAAATGCATTAAATGAACATAGTGACATCTATATTTTGTAAATAAACTTACAAAGACTTATTAGATGAGATGTATGGCATCACCTTTTACTGCTTGTTCTGCTTTTTACCATCTCTATTTAATTCAGAATGCCTAGTATTTTGTAATAAAGTGGTATTGGTATCATGTATGGATATCTTTGCTCAGTCAAGTTCTTGGAAATGGAGTGAGGCTCGAGCCACAAAGATGGGAAATAAGACACTTCAACAAGTTATTGATTTACTTAGAAAATCTATTCTCCTTTCCGTATTGGATGCAAACTATTAATACCCTATTGTCATGGTGACACTATTACAAACAATAACTGCCAATATGTCAAGTTATACCATTCCATGCCATAATAGGAAAATGAGTGATTGAATTTTGGATTTGTTTTGATTAGACTTTTGTAAATAAACTAAAGTGTATTTCTATGGAGGTGTAAATGCAGAGATATTGAAATAAGTTTTATGTAGTGCTCAGTCAGACCAAAAGATCATGCAAATTAATGGATAAATGACATTTTGAAGCATTCCTGGGCATGTCTTTATTGACTTACATAATAATAGTAATAATCTCCCTAAGGGAGGGAATGAAAAGTTGAAAGCTTTCCTTTGTTTTTCAGACATTTTGAAATGGAATTAATGAAAACAGATTTGGCAAGGGAATTTCACCTCAGTCAGGGAAAAGACAGGGACTGTTAAAGTAAAACATATTGTGGAAATCCTGCTATATAAATATAAATGTTATATAAATATAAATGTTATACAAATCTTTATAGACCATTATCAGATGCCTTAAGAAGCCTTAAGAATCAACACAATTGGTGAATAGATTGTATTCAATTAAACATTTTATTTATATGGTGTACATTGATTAAACAGCGTTGGCAACATAAGGCTTTGTACAATAAATGCTAATAAATATTGCAATTATAATTCTACTTTACATGTAGAATGCAAATATTCTGGCACAAGTAGACAATGTTTAATGGCAATATACAATAATACTTTGGGTTAGGCCCTACAGAGCTTAATTGTCTGTTTAACTGGAGTTATTTTTAAAAGGATTTGGACTTAAAAAGGACTCTAAAATCGAAACTCAAAATGTCAAATGCTCCATACAATATAAATGCTTTGACTTGGGATGTTTTTGATAATCCACTGAGCATTAGTAATCACTATAAACAGACATTTAATTTCCTGGGGTCTTACAAGCATTTACTTACATAATAAGTACTATATAAGGTTAACATACTTCATTCTGCAATTAAAACATTGCAATAACTACATTTGATTTATTCAGTTTCCAATAAAGTAACTATTTTGATTATACAGGTCATCTATGTATGATAAAGGAGAATGTAGAAGTCGTCTATATGATTGAAAAAAATCCATTGTTAACCAAACATCCTCTACAACCGACTTTACTGCTATGTATTGACACTTTATGAGAAAGGTGGAGGACCATACTGTATGTAACTTTGGAAACATACATGTAATAATTTGATTCCGAACCAAACATGATCCCCGTTTCCTCAGTGACGTTATTGCAACTTCTTTTACTTCATACTATAGTCAGATCCAGTGCAGAGAGTGCCATTTAGAAGGGAACCACTAAACTCTCCTTTAGTCATTATTTTATTCAACATTCCTCTCTCAAAGGCTAGCTGCTGGCATACAGATCAATCAGCCTTTGAAAGAGGTAAATCAAACAGACCAAAAAATGGGTTACACCAGATTGACAAATAATTCAATTGATATGATCTACAGTGACTCTGATGGGGCTAAAACATGCAGGGTCCAGTTCCTGATTGACTGCATGTCTCTCTGCTACAATATCCGCAATGTCTGATCTATCCATCTCATGCAGAGCATTGATGAGGCATTCAACCTGAATATCCCCATCACTTTTGATACTGACACATTTCCGCTTCCAGTGAACCAGGATCTTGTAAGTGACGTCTGCAAGACCCATCCCCAATGACAGGGCGTCAAAGCCTATGCCCGTCATTGTACTGTCTGGAATGTCAAGGTGAACTGCAAGAGTCAGACCTTGGGGTATTTCTAGGGCCAACGCACGCAGACTACGCCCACTTAGAACTTTGGGTTCCTTATATACTGAAATTAAAAGAATGATACAATTTAGTTGATACTAAAATTACAAAAGTTGAAAATTAATCCGGAGTATGATCTTATGAATTTTTTTCTTGATATACACCATTAATATTCCATTACTTCAGTATCATCTTTTTAATAAAGTATTTTGCTGCATCATGTACATTCCCCTCCAAAGTCTGGTAACCCTGATTCCACATTTAAAAGCATGTTAAATATGTTTATGTGACAATGTTTCTTTTTTGAATCGCCATACGGCTTTAACATTTTGTTCAATGGGAAAGTTGCCAAGATTTTGGAGGAGAGTTATTAGGTCTCGACATGACAACTGACAACCAAAATGTTTCAAAAGGAATATTATTAAAAGAGATCGCATTCAACACTGCAAGGACACAGAACAACTTCGAAATTAGTCAACAACATGCATGGTTTGTTAGACCATGCACGTTTTGATTTGGCGAATACATGAATATACGTCGAGTCTTTCATAAAATAGATAATTTACTGCCCCATTGTAAACCTACTTTTTATGGGAGGACGTTTGTGTTTGATGAGCCTCATGAAGGATTCTGTGAGTGGCGTGCTGAACCTCCCTTCTGGTTTTGGAGACTGCACAGGAGAAGGGGGTGGGATGGGCTCCTCCACCGGGATTTCAATGACTGGTTCTGGCTCTGGTTCAGGTTCATCGGGGACTGGTTCCTCGTAAAAGTACTTAGCTACTCGCGAACTCTCAATACTTATTCTGAACGTACGAATACATTCTGGATCATCTTTATTTACCGGAGATTTATTCAGAATATTCAGTGTTGCTTCACAATCGTATCCATTTACTCCAATGTCTACGACACCGTCTTTAAGTTTAGGTTGGATTTCGTATAGTCTGTGATTATTACCTATTATTTCACTATATGGGAGCTTGAATTGGTTGGTGACGTAATGACTGTTTGATTCATATACACAGAGGTCACCCTGTAATTCAAGGTCGAATACACTGTTGTTTATAAGGTTGACATTAGGGTCGTCAGGCTTTTCTTGCATTTTTGAATAGTCCTTCCTCGCAGCTTTGTAATGCTTTCTGAACACTTGTTTCTCTTCTTTCACAATCTCAACTTTCTCAACCATTTCAAATCCGTCATTTTCTTTGTCTTTTATAGATTTCTCAATGTCGTTTTTCTGAACAATTTCTACCGCTAAGAGCCAGAGCTTTTCTTCCATTTTGATGAACGTAAGGATTTCTCCCGTGACGACGCGGTTTTGTGTGTCGAATATCCTAAACGCTTCTGTAAGTCTTCTTTTGCGTTGTGGACGAGAAAGGGCAACCACGTATCTATAAAAAGAACAATGCAGATTATATATGTGTTTGTCCTGACTTGTATGTCTTGGATGTTTGTATTAAGTATAATGGAAATGGTGAGATTTATCATGGATAGAAAGAGAGTATGCATGATCGATGGTTTGCTGAAACTGAAACTAAAATGCGCATCGCTAGAAAATGGAAGGAAGAAGCACTTTTAGGCTAAAGACCTTCTCCCTTGCATTCGTGGTGACCAGACTTCGAAAGCAAGATCAGGGAACAGTAAAATAAATGAAAATGTGTGAGCATATAGCTTAGAAATGAGCAACTTCCAAGCATCAATCAGAGTTACCATACCTTATTAACAAGACAGGGTAAATATTATGCGTCTAAAACAAAGAGATAAGTATAAGTCATACACGGACAAAGCGAACATGACGGCAAATATATTGAGTAGTCAAACAAGATAACAACTACCTTCCTTCTTACTTAGAAGATCCATTGACATTTAAAAGACAATACGCTCACAGAATGTAAACCTATACTTTGTTTCAAAGAGACAAGTTGATTACATCAGTACCCTTTCAATTCTGTTTTGAAGGGATACTTATTGTGGTAATAACATTTATTTCAGGTTCCGTTCTCATATATTCTTCTTAGCAAAATCAATCAGCATCATGACTCACTTTGATAAAGCTTTCACATCAAACGAAACTGTTTGTTTGGTGAACGTTAATTTGTCGTTGAATATTTGCCAAGCATCTTCACTTGATGGTTTGTAAAGTACCGCAATGTCTTCTTGGTCGAACTCTTCGACAATTTCCGGCATTGGCAGTCGGACTCCAACTGGTCGTCTAAACTCGGAAATGCCGTCTGCGACGATTTCTATGTAATCAGTGGACATAATCAGGTCACCAACTTGGTGATGATATAGCCTTTTGGCATCTTCAAGGTTTTCATGGCGAAATGGAGTAATCTGAAATAAATACAAAAGCAAATAAAGGACATTAGATAAGTCAGATAGAATCCCTGACATTGTGTATCATATTAACTAGTTTATTTATTAACGGAAAATAATTATTCAGGATCGAAAACATCGCCGTGTACAACATATATTTCATTATATTCATTTAGTATACATTAATGGAAACTCATTCGGTGTCACGTTCATTAGCTGTTATAGTATCCATTGTCTGATTTATTTGATGTGGATTACTTGTAATCCCCTGTGGATCATAGACATACATGATCCTGATACGTCTGAGGAATCCTTTTATTCATCGATCAATACTTCAGTCCTCTTATAAAGGCCCTTACAAATTGAATGTTCAGCGAGGCTTGTCTCAAGTTATATCAAAAATGGTCACACCTGTCTCCAATCTGTAGGAATATATGCTTTTCTTTGATTTTTACTTGTATTTTTCACAGGTAAAGCCTGATCTTCGGGTCTCTTACTTTCTCGTAAAAATTCGAAAGGCATTGTGTCGTTTAATTGGAATGTTATCAAGGCAATGGACATTATTTTGTTATTGCATAATCTGAAGACATTGCCTCGTTCTACTGAATAACTGCGCAAACAGAAACAATCTAGACTTTAATTAAATAATTTATAATACAAAGATTTACTCAGCAATGAAACGGAGAACGATTCTCGAATCTCTTGACAACGAACGCATCAGCAAGTATATTCACGAATGGTGCCATAATCGTAAAGACTTGTATTTAGTACTAATCTCTAAAGTGACGCATCAAACAACGAACGCCTAAAGAGGCTCACCTTTATCGTACAGTTAACTGGTGTGTTCGTGGCCTTCTTAGGAAACCTCACAGTAAGGTACCGATTTATCCTGGCTTGATAGAGAACTCCTTGGGGGTCCACTACGAATGTCTCTGATTTTGGTGTTGCTGTTATTACTATTGGGCCCATCTTATCTGTCTCTATCCAGGCCAAGTTTACACCCGGATTCTTAAATAAAAGTATAAGGTTTTAGAATCCGATATGATAGGTACTATTGGGCCCTAAAGCTAGATTAAGTAATTACTTCCAGCTTGGTGAAGATGAAGCTCTCTTTTAGAGACACAAAGTCAAACTAATTGTTTTTATGCAATTTTTATTACAAATTAGTAGCCTGGCCAGAACAGGCTCAATTTTGAATATTTTTTCATGAAATTTTCACAGAATAAACTTTAAAGAATTCCTAACATAAAAATTTTTTTATATGGTAAATGCCTTCTTAATTTCATTGTTACAACCTTTTAAAAAATAATGTAATATTCTGTTGATGGGAAAATTTCATGAAAAAATATTCAAAATTGAGAAAGTTATTGAGAAAATAGAGAGGCATGACTTGTTCTGGCCAGGCTACTATGTATTATTATAATTTTGTTCTTGTTCTCATGTATTTTGTTTCATTCTATTTACCTGCGATGCTTCTATCAAACTCCACGACTCTTCATTCTCAATTTTCATCTTCACGTTGAAATCATAATAGGTAAGGTCAAACGTGTAGTAGGGCAGCGCCACCTTTAGTTGACATTTTGGACCATTGCCTTTAGACTCGAGCAAAAAGATTTCACTTAAGATTTGTTCGTCTTCCGGGAACTTCGGAAAATGCTGATAACGCAAAGTGGATGCGATAACACTGCATGTAATAATGTCTTTCTTTCCCAAACATCCTTCTGGGACCACCAATTGTCCTCCTTTTGATATTTTGTACTGGCCTCCTTTCTTCCCGGGGTTGGCCTCGACCTTTTCACTGGAAAAATTCAATACCACATTATTCTAGCTTGATACAAATCGGAAAACTAATAGCATATGAATAGGTTACTTTTAACAATGGGAGGTAAATCATTATTCAAAAAGAACCATTTGTTTCATTTCATTTTCAACCAATTTCCAATAATTGGTTTCATTCATGCAAAAACAGTACCCAATAAGTGAACAATTTCGTGAACTAAGAAAAGGGAATATTCAATGTCAGAGCTTTAAACATGATATTGGGCTATTGTTTGATATTCTAAAACGATCCATTTATTCGTGTAAATGTTACGTTAATTATTTGTTATATCATGTTTCAAAATTTATTGTAATTTCAGAAGCTAATGTACAAAACCACCTTTCACAATGAATTTGATTTATTTGTTTGAGTGATGAAGAAAACTGAGTTCGACTTTTAGAGAACTAAAAAAACTAGAACTGTCGCTTAACAAATCATTTTCCAGAATACAAGCTGTTATAACTAGGATGAAGAAAAGAGCTTTCAATATTCAAAAACATGTATGTCATGTTATTCTAACCTGACAGTAGACACATTAATGTACCTTTTAAAATATTTCATATGCCCCTCTTCCTCCGACTCCATGGCCTCTTGAATTTTCTTCTTCGTCTTCATCTTTTACTGAGCTAAATCAAAAATGAAACGTATTTCGTGTTAGGTCTTTATAAACATTGTGTTTGTTCATTATTTTTGAAGTGATGAAGTGAAATGAGACTCGTTTGTGATTAACAACCGGCTCTTCTATATTTTCCTTCGTTAATAATATCAATTATTATGAGCATCGAGACTCGATGAATAATTTTCTCTCTGTACTTTTGCTTGGAAGCCCTAACAATGAATAATATTTATCCCAACCGATCTATCATAATCCATACGATGGGAATAACAGCAATGTCTATAATTCTGATAGTATAAATAAACACCTTGATTGTGCTCGGCGATAAATCCTAGAATCACCGATCAGTATCCTTGGTTTCCAGTTGAGATTTCATTAAGAAACGTTTGGTTCCATGGAGAAATATGTTTCACATCCTGAATGTTTGTGTTTAACACTGTGTGTGTTAGAGCTTAACATCGTAGAGTGCTACCCATGTATCCCCAGGACACCATGTGACACAACCCAACCAATAAGAATTGGAATATTGACATATTAGGCACCATCGAGTTGGAGTATTTTGGCATTCTGGATTGTTTCTGGCACAAAAGTCTCTTGGGCCAGATTTATCAATCGTTGGGTCAATATAATTACATTGGGTCACTATTTGATGAAAAGATACTTTAATAAACTAACAATACGTTATGGCGTAAATGTCGAGTCTTGTTGTAAAGTATATCGGATTAGAGAGATTAGTGACAAATGCATTGGTCCCAATGGCTCAATAGCAAATTGATAAAACACCGTCCAGCTTATTTGTCTTGGGATTCTGAGATAATGCTAGATATTCTCTAGAGAAACGAGATAAACTAAATGGTGTATTTGTATTATTAGAAATAGATTAAGATAATGAATTCAGTTACACTAGTCAACAGTTTGGCAACCGCAAATTCGTCATTTGACCACGTCTTTGCTCGCCGATTTAAGGCGTGGCATTCGCCGTTGGTGTGAACGTAGCTTTAAAGAAGACTATGTAATGTTACTTTCCTGAAAAAAGCAAGGAAATTAACACATGCCTTCATACTTAATATTTAATTTGAAACATGAACAGCTTTTTACAAGCTGTCCAATGGGGAGTTGGGTTGTCGAATATTGGAGCAAGAGTTACTGTCCGAATATGTTTACAATAGTACTGTAGGTCGGATAAGCATAGAGGGCAAATTAAAAAAACCAACGACATTGAACAGATCATCTTAAAATTAAGCTGTGGTAGAGTGGAATGATTTTATTAGGTATAACATCGATCATTTCATGTGACATGGGTTGGAGACATGTAATCAATGTTCAATTAGTAAATGAATCCTTTTTCTTTGTTTAATTAATTCCAAGTGTTGTACTTATTGTACTCCGCAAACAGAACCTTACCTAACCGCCATCAGTTGAGTTATTTGAACGATCGTTATCAAAACTTCACATTTCCTCTATTTGCCACACGTAGCCCGGAACAAGAAAATAGGAAATAAAATGTACTTGTCGAACATTGAATAGTTTACATATTGGGCTGACACCCCATTTTGTCATTAATTGTTAATATGGCCATTGTAATGGAGTAGCAGTAGGAACTTTAAAAGTACATGTCAACATTCAACAATGACTATCTGATGGTGTTCATCCTTGGCCGCCATGGTCCAAGGCATTCTGATACCCATAGCTTCTTTCTGTTTCACCCGAAGAGTGAAGAAATGAGATGTCATGGTTCACGATGGGTCCAAGGGTATTTCACTTCTTTCCATATATGAGTTTTATATGAAATAGAAAAAAACATTTACACCAAAAGAAAGTTTTCCCCCCAACATATAAAATGTTAAAATGTATATTTTGGATTCATATTTCAATGTATCTTATAAACAATGTGTCTTATCTTTCGTCTGATGACCAAATAAGTATAATGAAACGAGATATGATTTATATTCTATCGAAAGTTTAGGATTTCAGTTGTTTCCATTTAAAAAGGGGCGCGAAAAATGGAGACGAATTGAGGGTTGACACGAGATAATTTCTAGGTGTATTAAATGGCTTATTTGCTGCCATTCTCGTTCTCAATGTCACTGTTTTATTTTGAATTGATAACTAACTTACAAAATCAATTACACATTGATACAAACCCTTTCTGAAAATATCTAAACTTGAATGAAATCCTTACCACTTTCCAATTGTTTTCAAGCTTCAACAACTACAGAAATAAAAAGAAGTTTTATGTTCAAATCTATTCATCATACAACTTAACTACTCATTTAATGAAAGAAAATTCATTTGTAGTGCAATTGCTTCAAATATATTACCATGTGTAGTCTTTGCTGTCACTTCAAATTTTCATTAAAATGGAGCAGCCCTATGATTTTAATTTATTTTCATCTTATATATTAAATATTTATATCTCGATCACGTCTTACCTTCGTACACCTCAACACGGTTTTGTTTTTTGTTCCCTATTTATATCTGTTATGTCCAGTTAAAGTGAGATGTTTCTATTTGCGAATTTATAACGTTTCAGTAGCATTTGTCAATCATGCTTCACCAGTCGGCCCAGGGAATCTGTAGAATGTCTGTTTCCACCAGTCAGGCCGGACATTGCTTATCGATCTACCGGTAAGTCGTAGAACTCGAAATATTTACCAACTACCCCAACTTCAATAAAAACTAATTTCCTGTGTGCAATACAAACTTTTTTATAAAAAGAATCATTGACGATTAATTCAACTTTAAAAGAAAGTGATTTTGTTTGCAAACAGCCAAACACTGTTACTATAGAGATTGTATACATTCGATCCATTCAACTCGGTAGACAAATATAATACGCTTTTGATCGAAACTGTACTCGAAATATAAAGTTAGATGGAGGAACTATAAAATGAAGAGATGGCGAAAAAATATTGTTCCAGCGTTGATCACGTTGCTATAACAATATAATGATTCACCCGGTAAATTATATACTTTAGCACTTTGAGATTTACAAAATAAGTTAAAAAATATTTTATTTTGACACTCAATCTTGACAAAAATTGTCTCAATTTTAGAATATTTTGGTCTCGTGTGTCTCATTCTTTGTCTTGCCTATTTTCTAAACAAACACCCAATTTATATACCCTATGTAAAGAAAAAAAGATGCATGGTCTTTTATCAGTCATAACATTTTCAAAATTTTGTTTAATATTACTAAACTCTTGGAGACATATGGTGTAGATATTGTAAATATCTGGTGGAAATTTTAAGAAATTAGATGAAAATTCAAAAGGTTAGCAATGGTTATAAACATTGTGTCACAAACCCACTGATGAAAGGTAATTAAAAGCGGAAATAACGAAAAAGAGGCGTGGCTTAATGTAAAAAAGCAAAAAAATGATAAAGGGGCATGGTTTAAGGTAATTAAAAGCTGAAACAATGAAAAAGAGGCGGGTGTTAATGTAAAAAATTGAAAAAACGATAAGGAGGCGTGGTTTAAGGTAATCAAAAGCGAAAAAAACGAAAAAAGGGCGTGGCTAAATGTAAAAACAAGCGAAACCCAATAAAGGGGCGTGGTTTAAAGAAAAGAGGTGTGGTTAAAAGTAATGTAAGCAAAAACCGAGAAAGGGGCGTGGCTTAATGTAAAAAAGCAAAAACGATAAAAGGGCGTGGTTTAAAGATGAAGGGGTGTGGTCTAAGGTAATTGAAAGCAAAAAAAACCAAAAAGGGGCCTTGTTTAATGTATTTAAAAGCGAAAAAACGACAAAGGGGCTTGGTTTAAGTTAATCAAAAGCGAAAAAAAGGAGAAAGAGGCGTGGCCTAATGAAAAAAGAGGAATGTGCCGTGGCCTTAGGTTAAAAGTAAGAAAATTTTGAAACCGCCATTGAATGATGTCATATGTCTGTCGATTTGTCTCATTTAATAGCGACGATGTCTTCTCAAGATTTAAATCATAGACATGTGTCTTCTTTGAGGCCTGGGGTTAGTTATTCCCCCTCTTCCGATATGACCTTTAAATAAAAAATGGCCATCATTTTTTGTCAAAATATCAATCGATTGATTATTTTACAGGTTATGCTTCATTCAGGCAGGAAGTAATTTTAATTCTTATAAAATAAGATACACACGACACAACTAACAGGCTGACTGCACTGCCATCTTTTTATGATCATTCTTTCAGTCCTTCTTAGCCTTTCTACTATATAAATGTATAAATGTCAAACAATACGCTAAAGAGGATATATTTTCCACAAAATCAATTTATTGCACAACGTACAATCTGCACACATTGGCACATTACATATTATATATAATCAGAACTATGCATTCATTATCAGCATTTAAAATGAATTTGCCCACTCCAAAACTGAATTTACAGTAAATTCTTTCTTTTACGATTGTAAACTTGGAATGGAGAAAATACATAATATCTTCATATAAATCGCCCTACATGTAGTTCTCATTGGGATTTTGGAAATGTTTAAATGTTATGGGGCTTGTTTTAACAACTGGGGCAACAAAGATTTGACCCGGGGATTTGACCTTAGGGCAAGATATCTACTTATTTTGTTGATGTTCCAATTTAAACAAATCTATTTCTAAGAAACATGTTTTTTGCATTTCTTGCATCTTGGCTATTAAGTTATTCAAACCACGTTAAACACACATAATTTCTACAATAATGATGCATACATTTACCTCTATTTTCCATTATAAAATTACTTTCTCTCTCAATGATTCCACTGGGAACCATCCAATGATGGTACATTTGTACGATGCAAATGAGCGTCACAAAGATCAGAGCCAAAACAGTTAGCTTGCTATTAAAAGTTGTTACACGACCATCCCCCGTGAAAGAACCACGCCCCGTGGGGAATGGCCAAATACCGAGCATGCAACGAGCCAGATACAGGCATGGTTCCAAGAGAATGCTAAATTTAGCGTTCTGTACGGACTCTCAGATCCAAAGTATCCAGGGTCATTTCAATGACATGTACTTCTGTTAGCGGAGTCGATCAGATGTCCAGAAATATCACAGGGTGTCTCAAAAATGTACCCAAAAGTATATAAAGAGCACAGATAAACCAATCAATATTTTCAGACATTTTTTGCATGGTCAATTGGTCATGTAGCCAAAACATGAAAGTTTTCTCCCCAATACACCATTTTTATTTCAGAATGAAACTCATATTTCGATGACAGCCTGTATCCTTACTGCAACATTGTTCATCACATATGATAATAATTCCGGTGGAATGTTTTGGATTTCTCTTTTGATGTTGCCCTTAAAAAGTTGTTCTCGGTCTTTTTGCTTGGAATGAGCATTAAGCACTCCTTCAAATAGCCACAGAGAAAGATGTTTGAGGATGACGATGGCAGAACAAACACAGACAATCAGGTAAATTATCAAAAATGATTCAGGAGTTACCTTCCAGAGTTAGGCAGGCTAGCATGGAGACCAAATGATATCCAAATGAAAACACAGTGATCTCAAATTGATACACACAAAGGCTACACTAGAATCCCAACCAATGCAGTTTTTTGAACCTCTGACCTCTCTATATTGGGGGGCTATAAGACATTGTGAGGGCCTCCCTATTCACCATATTTGAGGGCCCATACTTTTTTCTCTGAGGCTATTTGAAGGACCATTTTTATGCTAAACCCAAGCTAAGAGACCTAGAACAACTTAAGACCAGTATCCGAACAGAAATCAAAACATTCCACCAGAAATATCAAATGTGATGAACAATGTAGTAGTAAGGATGCAGACTGTCATCGAAATATGAGATTACATTAAATATGTGGTGTAAAAGGTAACGGGTTAAAGTATCAAAAAGGCAAAACTGAATTAAAAACTGTGTATAGGGGAAAAAACGTTTCATCTTTTATCTACAAGGTCATGCAAAAAATGTCTGAAAATATTGATTGGTTTGTCTATGCTTTTTAATATATACTTTTGGGTAAATTTTTGAGACACCCTATACATATAGTGTATCTACTTCAGGAAAGCAACAACCTTGGCACAGTTGAAGAAATGATGGGTATACAGGGTATACAGTCATTAATAATAAAAAATAAGTCTTGTACTTATACATGTAAGTAATCTAGTAAAAGATAAACATTCCCCTCCATAAGTTTGGCAACCCTAACTCGGGCCCTAACTCCCTAATTGAACTACGTGTTATAGCATCTTTATGTTTGAATTTTTATTTATATAACCTCTGAGGAAAATGCTTATTATATTATGTAGTATTGATGGAACTGTAACTTGACTTAATTTCCAATGCCTCCAACTCTTCCCAATTTTTCCTCATTTACAAAAGGTCATTCCCATGTAAACCAATGGAAAATGATGGGTTCGGGGCAAGTCTGATTTCAGGATATCTAACCAGAAAGAATTCACCAGAAAATATTTAAATATAGAAAATTGAATTGTCTAACTTTTTTGTACGTTAAGTGTTCAGTTTAATTTATGAATGCTAAAGTTACAGAGCTTCAAAGTCATTTTTTAAAATCATTTTTCACCCCCTGTGCTATTTCAATGGGAGGAGTTTTTTGAAAAATAATTATGACTTTGAAGACCTGTAACTTTTTTAAGCCAGAAGAAACGTATATCAATTTTTTATTAAATAAAGTTAGCAAAGTTAATTGACTGCCTAACTTGTATTTTGCAAGAACTCGGATGGATGAATATTCTGTCATATGACTTGCGACAAACCTACCATTTCTCATTGGTTTACATGGGAAATTAAATATGTTGATTTTCAAAAATTCATCAGATTTATCCTAAAATTTTAATCTTTTGTAATAGAGGGAAAAATTGGGAAAATTTGGAGGCATTGGAAATGAAGTCGAGTTACATATTCATCACTATTATAAGTACATGTATTTTCCTCGGAGGTTATAAATATAAATAAAAATTCAAACATAAAGAGGCTTTAATACGTACATGTAGTTCAATGGGGGAGCTAAGGTTGCCAAACCTATGGAGGGGAGTGTAATGTATACACCACGCATTACCAACTCGGTACACTAGGGGACTTTTTAAACAGTTTCGACGTGTTCCTGGGCCTCAGCTCAAAACTATGTCAATCTTATTCCAAGTGATAAAAATCAGTATTAGTGCGTAGCCACAACTCATACACATGATTTATTATGTACAAGAATACTTGTCTGTTTTACTATATTATTTCTATGAGTTAGTAAAACCATGGGGTTTCAATCTATTGAATGCTCATGGTAAAACAAACTCCAAACTTTAAAGTGAACATTCTTGTTCAGTTCGCATTGTATCAAAAATCTCATGTTTTATCAATTCACATGTGGGGCATGCAAATGCTAAGTATAATGAAGTTTAAATATATAACGTATATCTAAGTATCCATTTATATTTGCTTTAATAGACTGCCATATAGCGGTATGCACACCTTGTAAGTGGTAGTGAAAAGGGATTTATGTCTTGGTGAAATGGAAGAGTGAATATCCCAGTGAAATAAGTTGACGCACCAAGCTACACTACAGTGCAGGGCCGTCAGATGGGGGGGGGGGGGTGCGATGGGTGCGACCGCACCCCCCTTTGACACCCCCCAAAAAATTAAAAAAAAAATTATTTGAAAAATATTTTTTTGGGTAATTTTTTTTCATCGTCTCATACACTTTTAAAGTGCCCAGAAAGCACCAAATAGCATCTTAAAATTGTAAAATTTCCTAGAGGGAGTAGGCCATCCCTCACA